GGACAATTTTGAATTCGCAAGGTGACCTGCCTTGCGAATTCCAAAAAGAGACAGACACATGAAAAATAAAAATCATCAATACAAACTTGAAGCTATATTTAATTGAAACTATACAATTTCAGAATTATTTATGGAATTCGCAAGGTGGTTCACCTTGCGCAGCATACAAAACTGCCTATTTCACCTTGCTTTTTCTGGTTAATGTGAAATTATAATACCAAATCCAAACCGAGGTGGAATTTTATCCGGAGGAAATATCCGGTACGTACTTTCCGATGGCAAATTTTGTCCAAGGGGTTTCGGGGTTTCGGAGTTTCGGGGTTCACACCAAGACCAACTCAGATATATATTTTCATAAATTATTTTTATATTATTAAATTTTTAAAGAATAATATTATATATAAAAGTTTGATTTATTTTTTAAAATAGAATTAGATTTCATTAAATAAATGATAATATTTTTTTTGATAAGTTTTTAGAAGAAGATTTAGATAAAGGTCACTGTACTGTCCGTTTGGGCGAGTCGAATGCAAAGAAATTTTCCACTGGGCCGATTTTAACGCAGTTTTTTTTAATATCTTCGTCTTCGATCACATATTCTGCTTGCAGAAGCTTCAAGGCCCAACTACAAAACTATGCTCTGCGTTCGCAAGCAACGATTCCAGCGATGAAACGTAGTATTTTAATGAAGTAGACTATTTAAATAGTTAGATTTGCTCAATACTTTTAATAATTTGTACCTCTGATATAGTAATACTATATATTATTTAACGTTTATTTTATTTTAAGACTCAAGTATAGAATACTCCGATGTACCTGTTTTAAAAATGCGTTTGCATTAAGTACGTTCCATTAGGTGCTGAAACTTCATTTCAAACCTGGTGGAGTTGTATTCATTTCCAGGCAATATAAAACCCCTCACGGACTGCACGTTAAACTCCTGAATTCAAATATACCTTTGGATCGACGAAATACCTCCTAGGGTAAAAGTTATGGGAGAAACCATTCTTGCATTCCTTCCGCCCAAACGGACAGTACTACAGTAGTATACTACCATGGGTAGTAAGTACTTTAGAAAGCAACGAGCGACGTCAATCCATACTAGCCACATAAAGACCTTACTTATTTGGATATGCATTGACTGACGTCCACTATAATCAATACACTAGACCACGTGGTTGGTCTGGTGTAGTTTTCGGTGGTGGTACAACCAAGCTAAGACGTTCATGTCGATGGCGAAGGAGGATGGCTTGAAGCCCGTGGACATGACCATGCCCATGAAGGCACACCCGAGGCCGACAACTTGGGCGGGGGCGACCGGGTGCTGGAACACGTAGATGGACGTGAGCATTGTGAGCATCTTGCGACATGTGCCCACGACACTCGTGCTTAGCGACCCGAACGCCGCGATGGACACGAACAGAAACACTTGGCCGAGGCCGCCGCAAACGCCGATGACGCCGATGAGCTGCCACGTGGCCAAAGGTAAGTGCCACAAGATCAGCCAGTCCCGACCGAGCAGCACCCCGCACCCCACCCACGACAAGGCGCTGATGCGAAGCATGAGGTCGAACGGCCCGAGGTTGAATTCGGCAATGTACTTGTCTTCGAGTACGCCCGCCAATCCATCGCAAGCCAGAGACAGCGCCAGAAGGAATATCCCGGTGAGAGGAGCCCAGTCCAACGAGGATGCAACTGGGTCGACTTGAGAAGATGGAGGTTTCGCCTGGAAGAGAAAGAAGACCGCGGCGCCGGATGTGATGAGAAGGACGCTGGCGTATCTATAGCACGCCATGTAAGGGCCACACTTGTCGAAAGAGACCAAGTCCAACGTACTTGCGCGGGGGATACGTCTTGCCAAAGCACAGGCCCAAGACCAGGATCGGGATGGGCTTGCATGTCTTCCCCAGCACTTTGAGCAGATACGACACGTGCCGCAGCGCTCGAAAGGAAAAGTAGTACGACCCAAACGTGGCGGCGGCGATGCACACGAACACGTGCCACGGTGGCTGCCTCGCGACGAATCCCTGCGGTTTCTCGCTCGTCGAGCTCTTCTCCTTCTTCGTGTTGCCGCGTTTGAAGTACGATCCACAGTATGCCACGACAGTGTAGATGAAGTACTGCGGGCACATGACGACGAGTTCGGGCGGGGCGTCGCCGTGAATCGTCAGTTTCTCCTGAAAGTACGCGTACAAGCCAAACCAGAAGATCACGTTGAAGGCGCAAAACACGAAGAGCATGTTCTGCTGGCTCATGTGGCGTGTCATGACGGACGCGCGGACGATCTGGCTGATGGAGGCCAAGCGAGCCGTCAGTATGTACTTGGAAAGGGGCACATCCAAGTGGAGCATGTGAGGACGATGACGTGGCGGGGGCTTTTTCGAACTGCACACCCCTTACAAAGTACAGTACAGTACTACTACTTCAAGTACCTGGTATAGACGGTTTTCCGGATAATAAGGATCACCCGGATAAATTCATATTTTATCCTTGCGATGTTAATTCAACGACCAATTGTCCACGCGGCGGCTGCTGCTGTCTCCGTGGAGGGCTCGACGTGAAGCACCTCAAGCAGCTCCTTGGACGCGCGGCGAGACATGGCGCGCGTTCGATGAAGCACGAGACTCTCGACATCGTCCACGACCTCGAGTAGCTCGTGGCGTCCGCAGAACGAAAACCCACGGAAGGTTTCGTTGTCGCCGTCAAAGTCTCCACATGCGAGGTCCGTGGGCGGAAGCTCCGTGAACTCGGCATCAAAGTTCTGCGTGTCCGCCGCGTGGGTGACGCGGGGAACCATCGGCGGCGGAATGCGCATCTGGGCCATGGCGGTCCAGTCGATGGTGCGGAAGAACGGGTGGCACTTAAGCGCTTGCACTCCTCGCACGACAAACATGGACGACTTGCCGCCTCCCAGTCGCTTGTCGACGTTGCGCTCGAGAAGGGACTTGAGCAGCGAGTGCGCGTCCGACGACAGCCATTTCGGCAACACCAGCTACGATGTCAAGTGAGCGTACAGCGTGCCACGTCATCGCACCTTGGCCGTGAGGATTTTCTTGTGCAGTTCCTTGCGGTTCTTAGTCTTGGTTTCAAACGGCGGGTGACCAATCAGCATCTCGTACGCGAGGGCTCCGAGCGACCACCAGTCGACGGCCTACCGAGCGTAAACTATACATTGCACCAGTCTATGACGTGGCGTACCGACGAGTAGCCATTCCCCAGCACCATTTCCGGAGCCTAGTTCCATATGAGTCGGATAACAGACCAGGCGGTGTTACCATATACTCTTGGGTGCCGCAGAACGTAAACAGTTCGTCGCCCTAGTTGTCCAAGCTTAGCCTGACATGTGACTGTTAGACGTGGTAGGTTACATCGTTCACTTGCTTGGCCAGGCCAAAGTCTACTCAAATATCAGTCTTGTCCTAGTAATATATATATATATATATATGCCCGACCTGTGATCTTGACGTGGCCTTGGGCAGAAATGAGCACGTTTTCAGGCTTGAGGTCTCTAGGTTATTGTTATAGGTGGTCAAAAATATATTAGTTCTGACAGTTCCATACCGATGGATGATGCCTTGGAGATGCAAATGCTCGAGCGCGAGGATCATTTCTGCGAGGTAAAACTTGGCCTTGTCCTAATATACCTACTGTTAATTTGGACAGCCATGGCGACCATCACTCTCACTTCCATGAGTAGGCCCTCCTTCTTCAAGTGCGAAAACAGCTCTCCCCCAGGCTGGTACTCCATGACCAAGTACACCTTGGACTCGGTTTGGAAGGCAAACTCGAGTCCAATCACGAACGGATGGTTGATCTAGGGCATATATCCGGATGACGGAAGCCAAGGCGCCTTCTTCATGTACCTTGGTCATGATGTTGCGCTCAGACTTCATGTACTTGACTGAATCCATGTCGACGAGGAACTGCTTGCTGATGATCTACCGCCATCGTCGGATGTAAGATGGAACGATGTATTGTCAAGTGGATTCGAATTTGGGAGAGTTGGGTATGTTCGACCAATCAAAACCCAGAACATGAATCAAGTGGCCAATCAAATCCATCGAAATTTAATTAGTGTGACACTGGACGACCTTTACATACAAAAGTCAATACAAAGAATAGATTTGGCGAATCAGCACTAAAGTGGTACAATCGATGATCGACCAATCAAAAACTAGAACACGAATCAAGTGGCCAATCAAATCCATCGAACTTTAATTAGTGTGCAGTGGACGAGTTTTACATACAAAAGTGAATAGATTTGGCGAAATTTGGGGTAAATGGACAATGTACCTTCATGGCGTAGATCCCGTCGGTCTTGTTGTGCCGCACCATGAGGACCTTTCCGAACGTTCCTTTGCCAATGACCCTCAAGAACTCAAAGTCGTCGACGGACGTTCCTTTCTTTCTACGCGATTGCAATCACTCTCTATCACGGTGTGTGTGCAAGATGAACGTACTTGGACTCGGAAAGGTTCATGATCGGTGGGACCTTGGCGGTTGCACCGGTGGGAGATGACACTGGAGTAGGCCCATCTGCCGTCGGCGCGGGTGACTCTGCCTCCACAGCTTCCGTGCATGGACTCAGGGCCACGGGCAGCTTGATGCAGTCCTTGCACGTGGGCTGGGCCTTGAGCTTCTCGAGGGCATGGAACCTGCGTCGACCAACGTGTCAGCCGTGACGCTCCTCCATCATCTCGTGCTTACTTGTTGAACCCCTTCGTCGCATTGCACCGACCGCACACTGGCATCTTGATCCACACCCGCCACCGTTGGCAAAGTGTCAAAAACCAAGCACATCACCGCCGTATCCGGAAACCTGTCATATTATCCGGATTCCCACCCACGAAACCGCCATTTATATTCAAATGTTTCTGCATGTTGCGACAGGTTAATGATGATGGATGACGAGGACAGGTTTCTGCGCTACGCTCGCGTGCGCCGCTTGGCCACCGGCTCTTCTTCTGCGTCCGAGGCGGCGTCGGCGTCGGCGGTCTTGTTTGTCGGGGACTTGGGGGTGGCCTTGGACCGGCTCGACTTGCGGCGCGTCGTCGGCTTGGCGCCGTTGTTCTTGTCCGCCTCGGCCTCTTCCTTCTTCTCGCTCGTGTCTTTCTTTCGTCGATTGTTATTCGTATGGGCAGTGGAAGCTGCTGCTCCCTATACGACAAGTCATCCCTCGGTCCTTCCGTCACTTGTACCTTTTCGTCGGCAGCGGACGGCGACGGCTGCTTGGCCGGCGACGGCGCGGGCGCCTTGGACGACCGAAGCGACCGCCGCGTCGTTTCCACTCCCTTGTCTTCCTCTTCAGCCGTGTCTTCCTCAACCCCGCTCATGTCTGCGTCCTTCAACGGGGACCCCGGCGCCGACTCGGAGATGCTGTCCTTTCTCTCCTTCTTCTTCTTGTCCGTCGAGGCCGCGGGTTGCTTCTTGGCTTTGACGTCCTTGGCCACGATCGTCGTCGTCGGCGGTGTGTTGTTGACCAGCAGCAGCGCCGCCGTCGCCTCCCGCTGCTTCTCCAACTGCACTCCATGTAGATATATTGTCAAATAGAAATTGATCAGACAATCGATTGACCAATCAAAACCGAGATCAAGAATCGAGTAGCCAATCAAAGTATCCACGCTTTGACCACGTCAACATCGAATTAGTGTGTGTGACTCAAATTAGTGTGATCTTTACAAGCCAGCCAACTGGATATACACGTTGTCACAGATTTTTACCTGCGACACGAGCTTGTTGATGCTCTCCAGCTGCACATTCACGTGGTTCTGCGCATCCTTCTTCTGCGCTTCGGCCTGCTGCAGCTGGAACTTGAGGCGCTCGATCTCGCCCTTCATCGCCAGGCTCTCCATGCGCTCGGCCTCCCACTGCACCAAGTTATCCGGTAGCGCACTCCCCATCCACTGCACATTCGACAGCCCCGCCGCCGCCGCCGCCACATGGTCCGGCAGTTCACTGACCCAAAAGCTTCATCCTCCATCTCTCATCTATATGTACATACCTCAATGGACTGATCAAAAGCGGCACGTCGTACGGCGTCGACGGCAGCGTCGTGGCTTTGAACGGCACGAGCTTCTTCAACGGCTTGGCCGCCCCCTTGTCTCGTTTCCGCTTGCCTTCCTTGTCATCTTCTTCTTCTTCTTCGTCGCTGTCCCAGTGGCCGTCCTCGACCTCTTCGCTGTCCTGGATCTCCCGCCATGCAGTTTCGGCAGAGACCCACTCGCCCGCCTTTTCAAAGTACTTGGCCTTCATCGCTACTTGGTCGTCGGTCCACAGACTCCGCATGATGGTCCCGTCCACCTGCGCCTCGTCCACACCCACAGTCACCACTTCCCCGCTCTCCATCTTCACCTCCACTGCGTCCTTGGACACGGACACCACTTCGCCGCCCTACGCCGCCATGTTCGAATCATCTCGGAGACTGATCTTCTTACCGATCCACCATTCGACCACCGCACCAAGTCCCCAACCACGACCGAATCCAATGGGATCTCATGCTGCCCCAACAGATTGGTCAAGCGAGACACTTGGCGCTGCAACGTTTCGATCGCGTCGCCGCGAGACTCGAGCTCCACGAGGATGTCTTGGAGCGCCGTGTGCCGCCGCTTGCTGCTCATGAGCTTGGCCGCGGCCTTGCCGACAGATTTGCGTATTCGCAGCATTACGCGCTGCTGGTCCTTGTCCTCTTGCACGAGCGACTCCAACTCGTGGATGAAGCTGCTGCGGAGCTTCAAGTACGTATCTTCCATGTTCAGCCGCTCCTTCTTCGCGGCCACCAGCTCCGTCCGGGTTAAGCGCACGGCTCGGCGGCACACGGGAAGTGTCTCGATGATTTCCTCTGCGCTCATGACCTCGCGGCCGCGACTGCGCTTCTTCTTGGGCATCGGCTTGTTCAAGTACAGGTTCGCCAAATGCTGCTGGCGGCGACGTCTCGACAGCGCCACGTCGTCCTCGTCCGCATCAGTGGTGAACGGTGCTGCAGGTTTCGTCTTGTCGTGTTGATGCTTCTCGACGTGCAGTCGTTGGTTGTCCAGAAGTTGCTCGACTTCCTTCACGTCTTTGCGGACTTCGCTCTTGTTCAGACCTTGAACACCTACATAGTCGCGTCGTCAGGACCTTTCTGCGGCATGCCTCCGTCGCCAGAACATGCCGCATACCTGCGAGGTGCTCCAGGGTGCGCTGCCACGGTTCGTCCATCTACAATCGCTGTCGTCGCCGCCCGCTCTTTCCTCGTCTGACCCCACAGTGTTTTGAACGCAACGATGCTGCGTTGCGAGATTCGCACTTTGTTGAGATAACTCGGTTAAACCACTAAAACGTACAGGCCGTTCTGGTTTCACTTACTTTTTACTATTCGACTGTTTTAAGTGCGAGTTCGGGCACAAATAACGCCATCGTCGCGACGTTTTTCCCTGTCCAAACCTGTGAAACGAGAATTCGTCAAAACAAATAAGTAGGTGGAAATGCGAACTATGTTGACCAAATACTTCTTGGTCAAAATAGTTCGTACTAGTCCTACTGTTTCTTTTACAGTTAATCGTATCGCAAATCGCGCCCATTGGTCGATTTGAAAATGCTGGTCGCTGATTCGGTATACCGAGGCTTTTTTTTTCAATCAAATGTCGGAGTGCAAACAGTGCAGAATTGATGAAATGCCCATTCACCAAATATCGCTCGGGATGACAAGCTACGGCTTCCATCGCGCGTACTTCATACTGTCCATTGCTCGCTATAGACAGACACGGCATGGATAATTTCCCGCCACGACGACTGCAGATTCGACCGCACCTCACGCGGACCAATCTTCCTTGACTGCAGTATTGGATCATTGGTTGCAGTGGTGGCTAATACTTAAGTACGTAGTACAGTCCGACCATAATTATAGACTCACCTGAAATTTTTCGCACCTGAAATTTTTCGAGTTCGACAATTCATTGTCACATTCAGCTGTATGATCACCTACTCTCAGAGGACCATAAGAGAGTATCCCTCAAGCGGAATGCTTTAACAGATCCATGGAAATCATAGAATCGCAGTTTTTCAAATTTTGGGCTGACCACTAATTATAGACGCACTTTATGCGGATGGCTGAAAAGACCATTATTTTAGCCAATCAAAAGCCCCAAACGAAATCAATTTGATTACGGCACTGCCAAGGACTTGCACGCCAAAGTCGACATGATCTGTCACATTTGGAGATGCCACGCGGCAAAAACATCACCGATGAGAAACGTGGTCAGCCAGATAAAGGCCTACTTGGAGGTCGGGAAGTCTCTTCGGTGGATCGCAAAAGCCCTCGGACGCGGCGATAAGCTAGTTCGGACATGCATCACCAAATTCAGTCACGAGTCACCCTCCAAAAGAGCTGGAAGACACTCCAAGCTGACCTGCCGAGAAGTACGCCGCATTTTCCGGCTCGCTACCCGCAAAGGAATGACCGCTAGACAGATTTCGTTTGCTCTAAGCGGTAAAATAAAGCGTTCTGGCATCTTAAACGTGCTCCAAGTTTGCCAAGTACATCAAACGCCGCTCGGGTCCCCGTCTGACCACCAAGCACAAGAAAAACAGGGTGGAGTTCGCGTCGAACTACCCCAATAAGCTCACGGAAATGAAGAAGACACTCTTCACGGATAAAAGAAGTTCAACCTTGACGGTCCTGACGGCTGCCAGTATTACTGGCATGACTTGCGTCATGAGGTCGAGACCTACTCTAAGCGTATCTCAGGCGGTGGCTCGGTATTTCTTTGGGGCGGCATTCGGGGTTTCGGGGTTTCGGGGATTCGTGGACAACTCAACCCATCCTTTAGCCTTCAGCTTATCCACGAACTTGTCCAGTGACTCCTGTTCGACCTTTGCGAGTCGAAATGGTGCGCGATTCTGAGGCTTTGCGTCCGGCTTCAACTTCAAATCGAACTGCACCCCACGTTCCGGTGGCAACCCATCCGGGAGCTCCTTCGGAAAGACGTCTTTGAACTCGTCGAGTACAGCTTTGATCTCAGCTGGGTACTCTTGAGGTTGCGCTTGGACATGGCAAAGCTTCATGATCCATCCTGGTGGTTGTTCCACAGCCGACGCATTGGCATCCACTACCTCGTCAACCGACATGATGTCGTGCTTGCGCCAATCGATGACTGGATTGTGCTTCTTGAACCATGGTTGGCCCAGGATGACGTCAAACGCTTTGTCCTTCAAGTCCCATTCCGTGAGCTGCGTGTCATGAAACGTGAACGTGTCAATTTGCACCGTTTCCTTCAACTCGCGCGTCTCTGTCAGTGGTGACATCAGTCCGTCGTAGCCTGAGATGCGAACAGCCTTGGAGCGAATGACATGTTTGCCCAACCCGACTCGACAAAGCGAATTCGTTGCTCCCGAGTCAATAAGAATGTTCACGACTTTTCCATTTATTATGCCAGACTTAATCATTAATGGCGCTCTGCCACTCTCCTGACTTCGTCCGACTTGCGCTTTCGACACCGCAACGCCTTCAGCACCGTTTTCTTCCATGGCGCCAAACGTGATGTACTCCACATCTTGGTCGCTTGGTGCTTCTTCGACTTCTAGGTTGTTTTGCTTGCCTGGAGGTCCATCACCCGAGATCTTCTTCTTCGGCTTTTGGCACGTAGCCGCAAAGTGCCCAAACCCTTGGCAATTGAAGCAGCGCAACTTGCTGCGGTCCTTCTTCCGGGCTTTGCGAACGTTGATGTTGTCGACCTCCATGTCCGCCGACTCGTTCGACTGTGGAGGAGCAGGAGGTGGATCCTTTCTCATCTCCGCTCGACCACCGCGGATGGACTTGTCATGACGCTGCGACAACGACACCACATGTGCCCGCTCGTACTCCAGAGCTACCTTGATCGCACTCGTCAACGTCTTGCACTGCCGGTACTTCACTTCCTCCCGGGTTTTGAGCTTTAAACCACGGATAAAAAACGTCACTTTGTCCAACTCTGACATCTCTTGAATGTCTGTGCACACTCTGCG